TCTTTGTCATACCGCTAGTAGGGCGTCATTTTTAAAAGAATTGGCTTTACCTTCGAAGGCGAAGGGAAGGCAGCTACAGGAGCGCCTGAAGCCGAGTGTCTCCGCCGTGCTCCGGTTGCAGGGAGGAGCCCTGGTTGGCCGCGCATAGCTGCACCAAATGCCGTGGTGTTGCTCTAAATGCCGCGCCAGCACAGGGAGAAGGGAAAGCAATGGTGGCGGAAGGTCTCCCAATACAAAGTGCCCCACCAACGCCGAGGTCAACATCCAAGCCATCGCCGCCCTCCTGCCCGAGGATGCAAGGGGGGGAATTAAATCACCCCCGAAAAGATGGCCTAGCCGTTTTTTGGGGGGTCAAAAAAAAATAAGGCCCGGCCTTATTTTGTGAGAAACACGGTATATATATATAACATCTGGCCAGGCTTCACAGAGCATAAACATGAATCATGCTGTATTATGAAATAAGTTTTATGCCGTAATATTAATTATATAACTTGAATCATGCTATTATCTACTGAGAAAAATCACAAGAATTATCACAAGAATATAGTGATATGAGTGACATGACAGTATACTTAAAAATAAGGTATTGGATCCCTCTAAACACATGTTCAGCCTGTGGTATTTTAACTATTGGACATTTACTTGTACATTTCAACAGTCTAAGTAAAAGAACCTCTTGTTACTTATTTCTGGTTATTAAACAACTGAGAATCTTAACATCTTACAAACCTAACTTCTGTTGGAAGTGAAAATATGTGTTCTGTGTGCCTCTGAGCATTCCTGAGACCAGGAATCTGAACTAAGAAATTATTAGTGAAGCAGGTTTTCTAAATAAAGCAAAGGTTTCCTTTTTTCAAATTGAAAATGCATTAGAGATATTGGCAAATCCTAGCACCAGCTAGCTGCAACCGCTTTGTTCTTTGTAACTCATTAAAAAATAACCCCACCCTATCTATTCTGGCACACAGCTGCTTAATCCCAGTTGCAAATCTTTTGCAAATCTGTAGGGGTAATTATAGTACAGGCTGAAGATAATAGTACACACGGTACAGTGTTTGCTTAGCTAAGGTTCAGTTTAGATTGGAAATTCATTTGTATTTTTCCTTTTTGAATCACTATAAATTGTATGTCTCCTGTTCATACAGTATATGCAATAGTAAAGATATTATGGTTGATTGTACAACCATATATTTAGATTGAATTTGGCATTTTTATCAACCTATTGAACCTTTCCCAAGAACATGGATAGCCAGATGTTTTTTTTTTATGATGTTAAAGGTACTGTTACAGGATATAAACTGTTCCAATTTTGGAATTTACTGATGGGGATTTTGTCAATGCAGATGGAGCAGTGCTCCAGATGTTTGGGATTGCACCAATCATTATCATTATTGGTGCTATTGTTGCTTTATTTTGCCAGAGTCATTAGACTTCTATTTGTAGGTCTTTGTATTTTTTGATTTTTCTCCAGTTCTATAACATTCACTAACCATATCTATTTGCCTTCCTTATAAACAGTTTTAAGTTTGGGGTATTATATGGCAGGTGCCTGTCTGTTTGTATTCTAAAGTCCCAGAGCACTTTAGCTTCTTCATTTTCTATTACATTACCTATTTTGTGGTCCCATCAATTCTTTTTGCAGGGAAATGGTCTTTCTTGCAGTTCTTTTGACATGCTGTTTTCTGTAGTCAGTCTGTGTGATCTTTCTGCATTAGCTGGTCCATGGTTTCTTCACCTTCTCTGCAGAAGTGACCTTTGCTTTATGTTGCTGTCTTCTCAATTCTAGCTTTGTGTATTAGTTCTTAAGACTTGGTCTTGGGCAGCCAAAATTAGTCCCTCTGTCTTTTTCTTCAATTTTCCTGCTCCTAGCATTGTTAGGCCTTATTATCTGTGACCTGATTTCTGAGAATGCCTGGAACATGTTGAAAAGCCCTTAATACCACCCTTTTGCACCTGTGTAGCTCAAACTTTCCAAAAGCTTATCCAGAGACATGCTTCCCTCATGAGCAAAGTGCCTTGTTGAATAATTTGCATAAGTCTAGTGCAGTGCTTTTCAAACATGATAAATTTAAGATAGGTAGATTTCAGCTCCAGCCAGCATGGGAGTTGAAATTCATATGTCTTAATATTGCCAAGCTTAAAGTCTACTATTTTTTCATTGAGACTATCAGCCCACAAGCTAAATTTCTAAGAAACATTTTAGATAATATTTATGTTACAATCAGTGAATAATAGAAGCCTTGAATGTTGTTTCTTAAGAACAAGATATTCTTTCCGAGCTATAGCTATTATTAGTGCCTTTCAAATAACATTTACTGTCCCTGAAAAGTACATTTATATGATATATAACATACCAGTTGCATGTCTTAGCTCTGAAGACTGATTAAAGAAATAAAACATTATTTCCTGATGGTATCTTTATGTCTGGTGGTAGGCAAATCAGCTCTTAGTGTATGTACATTTAAAAAAAACTTGTTTGGAACAGAGAGCTCTGAATAATATAGTATAGGTCATTATTAAGACATTACAGAAATTGTAGGATAAATATAATTCAGACATCACTAAGAAAAGTGATTTGTGTTGTGTATGTGTGTGTCTATTGCATGAAACTAAAGCCATTATGAAGTCATAGTAATAACTACAGCCTTGAAAATCATTTTATTTACACACATTATAATTTGCCCTTGTCATTCGGAGTATTTTAGTTGAGTTTAGTTTATTGTCATTGCATCTCATACAACGAAATCAAACACCATCTTCAGTGCACATCATGACCATGAAAATAAACACAAACACACATCCTTCACCCTCCATACATTGACCTGAAACCCCCCAACATTGCACCAACACTGCACTATACAGTAGAATTCAATAGAGTTACTGTCCTGGGATGGAAGCTGTTTTTCAGCCTATTTGTCCTTGTTTTTATTGTCCTGTACCATCTGCCAGATGGTAATAGTTCAAAAAAAGGGTGCCCAGGATGAGATGGATCTTTGAGAATGTTTTGAACTTTCTTAAGGCAGCGGGAGCTATAAAGCTCTTCCCGAGAGGAGAGAGGGCAACCAATGATCTTCTGAGCAATTATGTTAACCCTCTGCCACTGTGCAATTGGCAAACCATACACAGGTACAGTAAGTTAAAATGCTCTCTATGGTGCAGCTGTAGAAGGTCACCAGCAGTTTTTCATTCAGTTGTTATTTCCTGAGAAATCTCAGGTAGTATAATCTCTGCTGGGCCCTTTCGACCACTGCTGCAACGTGAGCACCACATTGTATATATTCATTGTATAACTGAAAAGTTTTATGTGGATTTTTTTTGTTTTTTATAATTTATAGTTTATTTTATTTGTTGGTTTATTAAATTTCTGCATGACTCATCTCACATAAGTGACTATGGTCTTAAAAACAATATAAACACATGACTAAAAGGACAGTTAGAAAAAGAATTAATATCAAGGTTAAAACTTCCAAGTTAAAAGTTAACTTAAAAATCAAAATTAAAAAAATAAGAAGACTCAAAAAAGTTAACCAAGTGGAGGGAGTGCCTTCACACCAGCAGCCATTCCTAGGGTTGCATCACAAACTTAGCTACACATATCTGCTAATGGGCAGATCCAGGATTTAACATTTTTCCAGCAACGCAGAAGAGTAGGGTATGTTGCCTCAACTCTGCATGTAAGATGTTCCAAAGGGCAGTGGCAAGATTTAGGAAAGCCTCATATGACAGAACTATTATAGACAAACTTATCGATCATATAAGTAATATTCTTTGTTAGGCAAAGTGAATTGGTGAAGTGAGTCCATGTCACAGCACCTGAGAAAATCTTCAGTTTTCATATTCCCACTAAGATTTTTATTATATACATTTGTTTTATGTATCTGGATGATTGATGATTGATACTGGAAATCTTGAGCAACTCTTGTTTTGTGAAGAACCAATAAAATTCAATACTTCAAACTTATCTCATTGTATTGGATTGAAATAGTGGCACAACCTATGTAATATAATCTTTGCAAGTCAACCAATGCTGCTACTTAACAATGCAAACCAGTGCAGTTATAGTTCAGCATAATGGAAAATTACATAATATCTTTAATCAAATGCTAGATAATTATATGTATTTTCACAGATCAAGCAACTGGAGCCAGTTATGTTAACATTAGGGCTTTGCAAAGCTTTAAAATTAAAATGCTTTAATAATTTCATAAAAGTTCATGAGAAGTACCCTATCAGAATCATTTCATGAAGCAATAAAAATAACTCTTATCCAGTCAATACATCTTTGATGCAGTGGTGGGATTCAAAATATTTTACTACCAATTCTGTGGGTGTGGTTTGGTGGGAGTGGCAGGGGAAGGTTACTGAAAAATCCCCATTTCCTCCCCTCCCCACCCCACTAACCTGCTTTCCAGCTCCGTTCTCCTGTGCTGGGCAACCAAAGAAGACCCAGCTGATCAGCTGGGACTCGGGAGGAGGCAGAGAACAGATGGGAGTGAGGCCAATCAGAGGTGATATTTGCTGGTTCTCCGAACTACTCAAAATTTCCGCAACTGGTTCTCCAGAACTGGTCAGAACCTGCTGAATACCACCTCTGCTTTGATGTTACAAAGCAGGTATTGGAAGTCAAAATAGATTTATACACATGTAAAATATATGTTTTGAAACCTCTTCAGCTATGAAACTTGTGAATGAAGATTTGAGTCAGTGCAAAAGTGTTTCCTTAAAAAGAATTGGGCGCTATCTGTGCCTCATAGCACTTCATTCTGATGAAGTCAAGCCAACTGTGTTGCACAGTTGTACAACTACAAAACAAATGCAATGATTATTTTCATAATCCTTGTAGACATTTTCTTCTGCATTTAGGAATGAGCTGTCAGTCAGCTTGATCACAATTTATTGTAACAAGATTTTCTGTATCACAAATCTACTGAAAACAATAATTTTCAAATAGTAAGAGACAGATTACAGATAATCCATATTTCAATCTTTTATTTTGTCCAGAGCATCTAAGAATACATAAATTTTCCATTTAGAAGTTTCCAACAATTTATGAAACATTTGGCATGAAAATTGTCATCATAGCATGCAGTGAAGGTGAGGATTCATTTTTTTCTTTGAGTAAAGTGTCTTTTGGACTGATAAACATGGTTTTTGCCTCTGGTTTCTCCTGCCCATACAACAACAGGTGCTGTAGGGCATGAGGCCCTGTTGACCTCATCCTCTGACTCAAGTTACTGAGTATCAGTTTCAAGAACAGCATTAAGTTGAGGCTTCGGGGCTAAAAGTGGTTTTTGTATTCTGGCTCGCTGATCCTGTTGATTTGTTCTTTTCTGCCTTGTAAAACTGGCTGGTTTAGTTCGTGAATGCATTTGCTCCATTGGGAGAAATTCCTTCTGCTGACGGTGTTTCTTCTGAGGTGACCTTGGTCCAGCCTCTGAATTATGCATCATGAAGACAGATTCGGAATCACTGCTACCATACCCTGAATTCAGAAAGAAATATTTAGGAGGAGAAGTTGCAGACAACAATATCATGGCCATGTATTCTATTTGCAGAAAACAGTTGACAGTGAGCTCCAGCTCTTGCTGACTCAGCAGTTCTAAAGCAGTGACTGTTAGTACATAGATGTGTATCACTTCGGCGGACACATTTATGTGGTTATAAGAGGAGCCCACAAGTGGGCATTCCCTGGGTAACAGTGATGTCACCTGCCATATTTTTAACCTAAAACTATCTTAGGTGCTTCTGACATGAATACAACAATGACCATTAGAACCAACAATTGGACAACAAGGTAAACAAAAGATTGTTTAGTCACAGTTTTGTTTATCATAGTGATATGCACTGTATTTCTATTTAAATTATAACTATTATACTTTGCCTTATACAAAAAGGCCATATAGATCTAGCACTCTTTTCCCTTTATTTTGTGGAGACATCTTCTTTTCTTGGGTGCCATAAAGTTACATTTCTACTTCTTGTCCATAATTTTGAAGATTCTTTTTAAGCACAAAGAAATCTTTATTAAAGAATAGACAAAACTAGTGTAATGAAGAAACTAGGGCTCCTTATGATTATTGATAAAAATAGTAACATTTGGTCTAAATAAAATTGGGTGGGGATAAGATTCTTTAACTACAAATTCAAGGTGAACACTGGATAAAGTGTTGTTGTAATACTTGTGTACCACTCAGAGTCACTGATAGGTGGTCATAGAAATTAAAATAAATAAATAAATTCTCTTTTTTGTAAATCTGATTGTCCAAAGCTTTGACTATATTGAGTCCAATGATTCATGCAAGGGTTCACCTCTTTTATGGGTATTATTAATATTTTGGGACATTGAGTCAACTGCTGGACCATAAAGCCAAGATGAGCAAGATCTGCAATTAATAAATGGTTTTCTTGGGTTTTTCACTGGGTTTGGGGCACATTTAATTATCAGGTTCAAAGAAGGTTAGCTTTAGGACTTTTTGAAAATAAGAAATCTCTGCCCTAAAATATTGCACATGTATGCATGCACACATATGTGTGTGTGTACACACACATACACATACACACACGCTGGAGGTTTTTTAGAAGTGATTGGACAACCATTTGTATGAAATGTTATAGGGTTTTCTGTTTGAGTAGGGAGTTGGACTAGAAGACCTCCAAGATACCTTCTAACCAGAGGTGGTATTCAGTAGGTTCTGACCAGTTCTGAAGAACTGATAGTGGAAATTTTGAGTAGTTCGGAGAACTGGCAAATACCACCTCTGACTAGAGATTTTACAGTAACCTTCCCCTGCCACGCCCACCAAGCCACACCCACAGAACCAGTAGTAAAAAAATTTGAATCCCACCACTGCTTCCAACACTATTTTTCTAGTATATAATACATACCTTAGCCTGTATTGCCAGTAAATGGTTTCAGAAATGAAAATTTACTTGTTTGTAAATATTTTTATTGTATGTGTATTTTCTGATATGAAAATCCTGATATGAAACAAGTATAATAGGCACATATTTTTTCATCTACCGCTCATGTTGCTACTTTTTAATAATTTGCTTCCCTCTGCCTTTAGCAAATGTAAAATACTTGAAAAAATATAGCTGCCTATTTATACCTACTTAGTAGTTAAAGATTAAATGGAAATTAGAACTCTGCTGGTAAAATCTGGACAACCATATGATAACAGAAATCTAACTTTTTGGTAACATCTAATAGTTAGCTAATTGCAGCCATGTGTAAAATAATTTGGAATTCATGGGGTGAAAGTAGAACTGCTTCTTTATAGCATCTGAGAGCTTTAAAGGCTACCACATTAGCCTAAAAGGTGACATGGCTGCTTTAAAGAATCAGGGGGTTAGGGCAATTGTACCTTTAATATGAAAGCTTAAAGAAGCTGTGTCTGTATTCAGACTACTTCCTTAAACTAATGCATGGTATTCAAATCAAACAATGCTGTCCAAATGTTATTTGGCTATAAAAGATGTAGAAAAAAAAAATCATTTTTCTGTGATAATGAAGTTAATATCATTTTAAATAATAGCAATGCAAAAAATGGGTATTTCTCTAAACCAGCTTTTCTCAACCAGTGTTTTCCAGTTATTTTGCAACTAAAATTTACAGAATTCGAATAGTAAACATCTGGAAAGCACCAGATTGGTAAGCATTTTAAATTCTGATGGGCACTATCTCACAGAGTCATTGAAAGCAAAACTTTGCCAAGGTTGCATCTATCTGGAACCTGATGGATAATAGCAAAATTAGTAAGGATTGCCAATAATTTTCCATTTTTTATTGTTTCAATTAAGAAGCCTTACCTGTTTGATCATCATCGTTCATCCTGGTTGTTCTTCTCATTGGTTGAGAATTACCAAAGGGTAGGGATAAATAACGTAGGCTTTTACTGGCAGCCTGTAGACAGTAAAAAAAGAGGGGGAGATACACATTTGCAGAAATGTGTGTGGATTCCATTTTGAATTATCTGACCTCTAGTTATAGAGAAAAATGTGAAAAAATATTTGAAATTAGGAAAATTAATACCAACAGTATCGTTTACTATAATGATAGTATAATTGCAAACTTACCCATCATGCATGTGGTATACAGGAATTCAAAACACTGGAATAGTTCCAGTTTCCAACCTGTCCATTGGTGATCCTCATGTCTTTTGCAGCTAGTTAAAAATCTCAGTCAGCTAATCTAACTACTGTTCATCCAAACTATTGAAATCTCTGTCTTTCTAAAACAAAATTAATTAAATGCTTCCTGGTTGAACATTCCCTACAATGACAATAATATTCTTCTGCTAATTCTTTTTTTATTAAAGAAAATAAAATCAGCCACCCCACAGCTGATATGGTGCATCCAATTGCTACATCAATTGCTAAGAAGCAGCAGTATGCACAATACCTATTTAAATACACCTGCCTCCATAGCATTTCCTTTGTACAGAACAAGAAAAAGAGTTAGAAATATAAGCTAATAAATTCAAGGGATGAGATTAAAAATAAGGGGGTGGGATAAAATTAATAGTTTACAGCAATTTAATTCACTCTTCAAACTTGTAAAACCCTGGAAACCATCTTCGCTCTCGTTCATATCCAAACATTATTCCATACATTGCCTTTTAGATCTTAGCCTCTCAATCTATGGATTTATTGGATTGCATATTTTGCTATTTCTATGTTTTTATCCAATCATTAGATAGCTTCTCTCATGTTTGTTTTGGCAGAAACTTCAGCAATTTCCATACACTTTTGCATAAACTCCATAGCTTATTATGTGATAGATACCTGCCCTCCCCATGGTAAGCTATGACCTTTCCTTGTGGTCTGCCGCATGCTGCATCGATGTCGGATAAGTATTTCTTTCGCTTGCTTTTCACTTGTTTCAGGGTCAAGGTTATACCTGTTGTACGATAGTGTCTGAAATGAGAAATGCATTACTTGATCTCACCAGCTTAGCTCCCAAACAATGCATGTAAAATGACCACTTTATAATCATGTGATTTTAGAAAATTGCTATACTGAGAGTTTTTGGAAATGAATTCTTTGTGTGTCTAATCACACTTGGCCAAATGAAATATTCTATTCTATTCTAAATTTCTCCCTTTTCCAAGGGTCAATTCTATTGTAATCAACTTGGCATGGTGTCTTTACAAGAAAGGATGCTGGTTCTCTGATTTTTCCTTTGGAGGAAATTCCCACATTAGCAAAAGTCAACACCCAGGAGATATAGGATAAACTTGGAAGAGATATTAACTCCAGGGATGAATGCCCATAATCCATAGGCTATAGCATCCATGGAAAAAAATAAAGTTGAAATAGATAACAATCTTAGAACATGGTAGTATAAAATCCCTAATAGAAATAAAAATTGGCAGGTGTATATTAAAAATATTGCTATTTTTTTACTTTATTCTGACTTCATCTTAGTAGTTTTCAGAAATACTTCTTAAATCCATAGCTCACAAATAAAATTTTGCCATCTTCTTGAATGGATGAAGCTTTTACAAGAAAGCTAATGACTATTCACTATGCATTACATTCCTGTAGTTATATTGATACCTGCTCTGCAGAAATGGAGGCAGAGGTTTTCTTTGAATCAAACAAAATCTTGAAGAAGAAAAGGATTCATTTGGATAATTATATAAAAGGCAGTCAAGAACAAGCATTAATGAAACTTAAAATTGAAACTTACTGAATATGTATGAAGCAAAACTTCAATATCAAAATTAAAATAATGTAATAAAAACAAGAACAAAATACTGGTAAGGAAAAGCATTACATGGTCAATTTCTACAAAATGTGAGAGGAACGTGGATTAAGATAAAACCTGGTAGTGGCTTATAGCTGGAAAAAGAATCTGACTGCTCAAGAGCAAGCTATTCAAACTAAGGCCAAAATTGAAAAATCGTCAAGTGATTCAAAATGCAGATTGCACAAAGAAGCAGAAGAAATCATAATTCATATACTTGGCTTGGTCAAAAAGATTGCACACATTTATTATAAACAAAATAATATAGTTGCCAAAATATAGCTGAGTCACTGGAACACCTGTAAAAATTATGTGCTAGTAAATAAAAAAAAAATAGTGGAAACCTAGAGTTGAAAATTACACCGAAAAGGACTATTTTGTTAATTTTTATTGCAAAATTGACAAACTCAAGTTATCCCCTTGCAGATTAACAGATTTATTTAAGTATGGAATAATACATTCACTTCTATTCCTCAACTATAATTTTTTCAGGAAAGATTTTACATCATCCCTCCTTAAAATTTGCATCACAGTAATATATTGGACACTTGTCTTTACAATTCTTTTATTTTGATCTATTTATCCAATGTAGAATGCTCATCAGTGACTCTTACACCTTCTGCCAATTTAAAACCAAGTTTAAAAAAATTACATTATTTGGCAATGTTGTTTCAATGCATTTTAACAAAGACAATAATTAAGAAGTCAGGTGTTACTTTAAAAGCCAACCAATGTGTTATAGTTGAGTCTTTGGGGCCAATGCATACTATAAAACTCATGTTAGTCTTTAACATACAACCAGGTCCAATCAGATGCTACAATCAACTATGTAATATAGCTGCCGCCCTACAAACTAAACCTATTGAATTGTTGAAAATTTAAAATAAGGGGCGCCTGCCACCTAGTGCTCATCTTTAGATTCCATTCCATTTCTTTTGCATGCATCCTTTTTTCCTAACTCACTTGCCAGATCTAAAGCTCAGACATTATAATTAATTAAAAGATAATTCACAACTAAGGAAAAAAACCCACTTCTTTATCTAATAAATGAGAAGTTCTGCCATCCGATGTGGCTTAAGGGACAGACAGAATAAATTCATGAAGGATCCAGATATTAGTGGCTACTAGTCCTGGTAGTTGTTTATTACTTCTGAATTACCAGTAACATATCTCAAATCCCAGCAGTAGCTCTCAAGAAGATTTTGACCTCTGTTGGATTTGGTTTACCTCTCTGTAACACAGAATGCCAGATTAGATAACCTTTTGGCCTGTTGTGCTCTTTTTAAATTCTTGTGTTTATTTATTTATAAAACAAATTTATATAGTCACCCACCTTCCCCCCAAAGGAGAGTCTGGATAGCACATAGCAATAAATAAAACAGCCAAGATAAAACTGATAAAGAGCTAAAAAGTCACAGTAATAAATAACATAATAACCAAAATATTAGCCATGGATGAAGGCAGAATAAAAATGGTTCCCTTAGCAATGGAACCACCATGACGAAATCTTAGCCCCAAGTATAATAAAGTCTTGAGGGTTTTTCAAAAATTTTGAAGGAGCACATGGATTCTATATTCTTCAAACTTGAACACTTTAACAACCTACTTGTCATTTTTTAAAATAACTCTAAGGTATGTTTGAGATGGCAATTCTAAACTCCTTCCTTTTTTCTTTTCCTTTTTTCTGGAAGCCCAAGTGTCAGTGAAAGTGATTTTATGGCTGTCCTACAAAGACACATCAGAAGTATTGGAATGAATTCATTAAAAACAATGAGCCAATCTCTTCTTAATATTATTCTGCACTTCAGCTACAACCATAGCTTTCACTCCAGGCAATTCTGCCACCACCGACTTCTGCTAAGGTGTGAAATAATTCAAACATGATCTTTTCTTATGTAACAGGAACAGGTTATCAGAACTGAAAGCACATACCCTTTGCCTCACTTGATACAGATTATGTGCCAGCATGTTCTGCATAGATTCCACATCTTTAGGGGAAAGTTTCTGTATTCTTTCCTTCCTGCACCTCCTGCAAACAAATATGAATACAAATGTTATTTGACTAAGCTAAAAGTTCAATCATTATTTCACTAGAATAGTTTCGCCTACATTCTGTTATCAGTTATTGTTACCTGTAAGTTGACTTTCCTAACAAAGGATGGCAAGAAATCATTTGTAAATCAATGGAACAAACTGCTTAATTTCTTTGCAAGATGTATATGTATATTTGAGTATTATCACTATTAGGTACAGCAGTCTTCTTAGTAAAAAATAAAATAATTTATAGAGGTGTAATGTAGAAAGAAGAAATTCATTACATAAGCCACATATAAATGCAAGTAGAACCATGACCATTAGTGGCTATCTGCATGTATCACACACATATAAAGTTTCTTTGTTGAAGTGTGTATCATAACATATTAAAATCAGAGTCAATGTTGAATGACTTTAAAATGCAATTAGTTTAATTGGTGAATCAAGATGAGGGATCAAAAATATAAATAAAGGGGAGAAACCCCTAAGTTCAATTTTTAAAAAATCTATATTGAAATTAATAGAATTTAAATTACATAATCAGATACCCTGGATATTATAAACTAATATAAACAAAGTATGTCATAGTTCTTCTAGAACCAAAATTCTCAACCAGCGCTACTAATACTACAAGTGTAATTTAGAAGTAGTCTGGTTTGGAAATAAAGTAACTCACTGAAACTTTGAATTTTAAAAAACCTACATAATTATAAAATGCTTCTAAACAGATATTTTTATTTCTCTCGTTTTAAGACCTAGTTCTCAAAGTAACTTGATTGGACTTAAGATATGCCAGATTGACAACAATTGTGATTGTGTACAGGTTTATTTTTTCCTAGGAATTTTTTTACTGTTTTTTTTAGTCTTATTATTCTCAAACCTATCATTTCATAGTCTAAAGAAACTTCTTTTTAAAAAACAGGACCAGCCATGCCACTACCATAAGTAAAGATACAGAATTATTGGAAAATGTAGAAAAGCAGCAAGATATTGGATACTATCATGAATTAGCCTATGCTAAGCTCTTTATTCCTACTATCTCCATTGTTGAAACTGAATAACTGTCAGAAGTGTCATTCTGGACTGGACAGAATAACTGTCCAGTCCAGAATGAAATGGTACAAATGGAACAAGAAAGAAGGCACCATGTTGCCCTTTGTTTTGGTGAAAAAAACATTCTAGCTTAGGCCAATCTTCACAGTAAAATATTATTAACAATATTCCAGAGACAGGAGTTTCCTACCGTGTTTCTCCAACAATATGGCCTCCACCAATAGGAAGGCCCAGCATGTTTTATCGGCATAAAATCAAATTAAGCTCCTCCCCCCAAATTAAGGCCTATATTAAACATGCAAAATGGGGGGAATGGCAGGGGGGCTTGCCGTTAGGAAGTAGTTTTGTTGCATACCCGGGTATGGTTCTGCCTGTGTTGACCTCGGCGTTGGTGGGGCACTTCGTATCGGGAGACCTTCCTCTGTTGCTTTCCCTTCTCCCCGTGCTGCTGCGGCATTTAAAGCAATGCCAAGGCATTTGGCGCAGCCATGCGCGGCCAGCCAGGGCTCCTCCCTGCAACCGGAGCCCAGCGGAGACACTCGGCTTCAGGCGCTCCTGTCGCTGCCTTCCCTTTGCCTTCGAAGGTAAAGCCAATTCTTTTAAAAACGATGCCCTACTACTGGTACGACAAAGCCTCCCCTGCCTGGGAGGGCAGCCCAACCCCACGTGGGGAGGCGAATCTCCCAGGACTGCAGCGCAGGATCGGCCCACCCCGGGAGAAGCACCCAGCCGCCATCCCTGCCTGGCACCAGGCAGAGTGTGAAGAGCTTCGCCTGGGGCGCCCAGCGCAGCTGACAGGCGGGCCCTCCTGCCCAGTGGCAGAGCTCTCACCAAGGCAGCGAGCACCTCCCCACTGGACCCTCCGCTCATCCCGTGCGGGCTGGGCAGAGCTGGGAAAGCAAGCCGCGGGTGCATGCCCGCCTGCCAAGCAAAAGAGCCGGGCCGACCTGAGCTTGGCTTCCTTCCCAAGTCCCTCCAGCGTGAACCCGAAAGGGCCACCGGGAGAGGCCGCCCAAAGCAGTTATAGCGCCCACCCATCCGTGGACAGGGAGGCAAGGTGACAACCTGTGCCGCATCCTCCTCTGAGCTGAGCCCTGCTGAGTCAGTGCCTCTGCCTGATGCCCGTTCCACTGCAGTGTTTGGAGCTGCCGGCGCATTTGGAGATGCGTGGGGACGTGGATGGGCTGGGCAAGGGGTGGAAAGGATGGGCAGCTTCGGGCTCTCTCCGCTGGCTAGGGAAGCAGCGCTGCCATCACCTCGCCTCCCTGTCTGCGGACAGGTGGGCGCTATCACTGCCTCGGGCAGCCTGTCCCGGTGGCCCCTTCGGGTTCGTGCTGGAGGGACTTGGGAAGGAAGCCAAGCTCAGGTCGGCCCGGCTCTTTTGATTGGCAGGTGGGCGTGTACCTGCGGCTCACTTTCCTGGCTCTGCCCAGCCCTCATGGCTCTGGCGTGGCCCTGGCGGGATGAGCGGAGGGTCCGGCAGGGAGGCACTCACTGCCTTGGTGAGAGCTCTGCTGCCGGGAAGGAGGGCCCGCCTGTCAGCTGCGCTGGGTGCCCCAGGTGAAGCTCTTCGCGCTCTGCCCGGCGCCAGGCAGGGATGGTGTCTGGGCACTTCTCCCAGGGTGGGCCAATCCTGCGCTGCGGCCCCAGGAGATTTGCCTCCCCACGTGGGGTTGGGCTGCCCTCTTGGGCAGGGGAGGCTTTGTTGTAGTAGGGCGTCGTTTTTAAAATAATTGGCTTTGCCTTCGAAGGCAAAGGGAAGGTGGCGACAGGAATGCCTGAAGCCAAGTTTCTCCGCCGGGCTCTGGTTGCAGGAAGGAGCCCTGGCTGGCTGCACATGGCTGCACCAAATGCCGTGGCGTTGCTCTAAATGCTGTGGCAGCAAGGGAGAAGGGAAAGCAACAGTGGCAGAAGGTCTCCCAATACAAAGTGCCCCACCAATGCCAAGGTCAACATCCAAGCTATCGCTGCCCGCCCACCCAAGGATGCAAGGGGAAGGAATTAATTCACCCCCGAAAAGACGGCCGTTTTTTCGTGGGTCAAAAAAAATAAAGCCCGGCCTTATTTTGTGAGAAACACAGTAGAAATATGAAAGTGTTTTGTTTCTTTATAGAAATTTAAAGAGCACTAAAAATTGGAGGTCAACAAATAGAAGTTGCTAGAGTTAAGGAATCACAAAATACAGTATGTTTGAATCAATGTAATCGTGAAGGCTCTGTCTGGAAACAGTTTCAAGGGAGCAGTGAGTACCACTCTGCTGTCATTATATGGAACTCATTTCTGAGTTGGCTAATACATCAAGACAAAGGGGAAAGCTCATTCATGAGTTTAGCTATTAACCAAGGAAGTTGATAACAGTTCCTTAAGGGAGAAAACACATGGTTTCTCTCCACTCCTTTTACAGATAGACATATGTGCTATGCAACTTATAATACAGATCTGTTTCAAATAAAACAAAGGGAAACCAACCAATAAGCCAATTTTTAAGTAAAAAAATTCTACAGTTTTAAGTATCAGATTTAGTGAAAATTTTACAGTTAAATAAAACTGATTACTTCACTGATGTTTTCTTTTAGAGTAGACTCTAACTTTTCTTGAGTTAACTTTTCTTAACTATTATTTCTTCTTAAATATTTTTTATCCTATGTTTTATTATTTGTAGTATGGTAATTTCAAATATATTATGATTTTTTAAAAAGGCGTATTTGAATGTGTGTGTACATCGTGGCTGTGTAATCCTCAGAATACAAAAGCAACTCATTATTAAGGTTTGTTACATATTTTCAGATTTTATTGCACTATAATATTTTTAAATGAATTTAATGTATATTCATGGAAACATCTAGTCAATGAACATCATGCATTAAGTATTCCAATAAAATCTGCAAGCCAATAGTGGGCTTGTGCAAACTAAATTGTGCATGCCTGTGCCATGTGCAAGCCTATCCTATTTAAATATATCAGAGTTTATGCAAATACAGGAATGTATGTTTAGTTCTCTGGCGTCTCAGCACACACTGAAGAACTAGATGAAGTTTTGTTCATTCTAGCTCCACTTAATCTAAACTAGGGTTACCCAGGGGTGGGATTCAAACTTTTTAACAACCAGTTCTGTAGGCGTGGCTTAGTTGGTGGGCGTGGCTTGGTGGACATGTGACTGGGTGGACGTGGCTTGGTGGTCATGTGACTGACTGGGTATGGCCAACTCAATATCACTCACATCAAGGCACGCATCTCCTCGCCTGGCCTCTCGTGACTGTGGGGATGCTGCAACAGTCGTAAGTGTGAAAAATGGTCATAAGTCACTTTTTTCAGTGCCATTGTAACTTTGAATGGTCACTCCACACCAGCAAAGGAGGGGGAAAAAACTCCAGAGACGTTCCTGAGACAGGAAGTCTAGTCCTGCCAAGAATGTAATAAGGGTTAACGGAGAGGCAGTTTCTGTAAGCAACACCAGAATGTTTCCTTCCTGCCTTCCTTACAGGATTAGGCCAGTAATTTCTTCTAACAACCAGTTCTCTGAACTGCTTAGAATGTTAACAACTGATTCTAGAGAATAGGTGCGAACTGGTAGAATCCCTGGGGTTATCAGATCTAGACTGCCAAAACCCAGTTGATCTTCTGATGACAGCAACAAACTAATATCTTGTTACATCTCTTTGGTGCCATGTCTAACATCATCTGTATTTTTGCAGCCTAAATATGATAGACTTTTTACTTTTTTCTGTACAGTACTTATTTTAAAAATTATGTAGATGGAAGGTATCACTTTGGTCTAAGTAAAAATTTAGCCCAATGAAGTTATATACTCAAAACCTAAAGGATAGTCCCATCATCCTGCAGCTGAAGGTCTTTTGTCTTGTAGATAGGCTGGCCCAGAGTTTCTTAACGTGCACCAAAATATCTGCTGCGGGGCAGGGAGCTGGAGCTCTGAGTTTCTGTCTTTAGAAACATGTTTCTCCTTTAGGGAAAATATAATATTCTGCCTTTTTAATATTTCCTAAAATATTACATTCCTCTAAGAGGGGTGGGTGCTAACTTTCTACATTCAGTAGCATCAATTCACATATTCAGCTGCAAATTTCTGATTATCTGTTGTCTATCAAAGTTGCTCCCTCCAGATGTGGCCTTCAAATGTAGCCAAACTGCTATAAAAACCATTGCTTCTCACCATCAGCAACGTTGCCTGGAGAACCATATGTTGCCCCTGTTCATTATATTCCTTGATTAAACAAAATATTTGCATTGTTCTGACAAACAGTTCTTTTTTTTTTTTTTTTCCCTAAGACTAATATCTTCTTCATTTTTCTTTTTTTTTTTTTTTTTTTAAAATAAATTTTATTAAATTTACAATTAAAAACATATCGACATTACATACACAAAAGGGAAAAAAACAAAAAAAGAACATTCGGTCTTACAAACTGGAAAGAAAAGAGAAGAGGAGATGTAAAAGAAAGAAAGAAACAAAGGAAGAGAAAGAGAAAAAAGAAAAAAAGAGATGCATTTAAAAACAGACAATATCCTTTTTGACAGTCTGCAAGATCCAATTCTCCTACCTTAATTTGAATACACACATCTTATCGATATCTATGCTTAAATTACCCATTGTCCATTAAGCAGTTTATCTCTGGACTAACCAATTATACCAAGAGTTCCAATTATCGTAAAATGTTGAAGCCTCTTTGTTTTTAAGTGCTATAGTTAATTTATCCATTTCTGCACAATCACATATTTTCTGGATGACCATTTGTTCTGTAGGTGCATAGGGTGATTTCCAACACTGGGCAAATGCTAATCTGGCTGCAGTTAGGATATGAATTGTTACATATTTCATCTTTTTGGGTAAATGTTTATCAGAGATCCCTAGTAGGAAGAACTCTGGTTTGTATTCGATTTGTTCTTTGGTTATCTCCTCCAACCATTTTCTGATTTTTTGCCAATATTTCTGGTTTTCTTTGCAAGACCACCACATATGAAAGTAGGTTCCTTCTATGCTTTTACATTTCCAGCATTTTGGACTCGTGTTTGGGTTCATTTTCGCCAACCTCGAAGGGGGCAAGTGCCATCTATAAAACATTTTGTATGTATTTTCTTTATATGCTGCCGATTTTGTAATCTTAATATTTCTGTTCCAAATCTTTTCCCATTCTGATAATGTAATACTTCTTCCAACATTCCTGCTCCAGGCTATCATGTTCCCTTTGACTATCTCTTGTTCTAATTCTACTTCCAGTAAGTATTTATAGAATTTGGATATGTTCTTTTTGTTTGATCCTAGTAAAATTTTATCTAAATACTGCAGTTTGTTATAAATTCCAAAGTCTTTTATATCTTGTTTGTATCTGCTATGGATTTGTATATATAACCACTGATCAATTTTAAATCCCTGTTCCTGTAGTTCTTGTCGAGTTTTTAATTTTCCTTGCGGATCTAATAAATCTTTATATTTAATCATTTTTGTTATGTCCAAATTATTGGGATGTACCATTGCCTCCATTGTTGATAGCCAGATCGGAATTTTTAGATAGTGTTTTTTGCATATTTTTTTCCAATTAATTAATAATGAGTCCCTAATGAGGTGTCTATGAAAGTAAGACTGCTTGGGTTTCCCCACTTCCCATAAGAAGGCATGCCACCCTCTCTGGAGGTCATGCCCTTCTAATGCTAAAATTCTTTTGTTAAGTAAGTTCACCCAGTCTTTTATCCATAATAAGATAGCTGCCGAATAATATAATTCCCAATTTGGAAGGGCTAGACCCCCTCTACTTTTCGCATCTTGTAAGGCCTTTACATTGATCCTGGGTTTTTTCCCCTGCCAAATAAATTTAAGTGTGATCTTATTTAATTCTTCAAAAAAAATTTTGGGCAACTTAATTGGGATTGTCTGGAATAAATAAAGAAATTTTGGTAATATATTCATTTTAATCGAGGCAATCCTGCCCAATAAGGAAAGCTGCAACTTATTCCAGGATTCTAAATCTTTCTTTGTTTGTTGAAGTAGTTTATCATAATTGTTCTCTTTAAGTGATTTACCTTGTGGTGTTAACCATATTCCTAAATATTTGACCCTTTTTGTTACCTGTATCCCCATCATTGTTTCTAATTCTTCCTTCTGGTTTTCTGTTAAATTTTTGGTCATTAATTTCGTCTTTTTTCTATTAATTTTTAATCCTGCCACTGTGCCAAATTGTTCTAATTCTTTTATTAGATTATAACCTTTTTCCATGGGTTCCTCCAAAAAGAAAACCATATCGTCAGCAAACGCTTGTAGTTTATATTCTTCTGATTTGACCCTCACTCCTCTAATTTCAGAATTTTGTCTAACCCGTGTTAAGAGTGATTCTAGGGCAAAAATGAAAAGAAGAGGTGAGAGAGGGCAGCCCTGTCTGACACCTTTTTCTATATTTATTGGATCTGTGACAAACAGTTCTTAACATACTTACAGAGAAGATGATTTGGAAGTCGTAGGTGTCATGCTCCCACTTTCTACCATTTCAATGACTTGTCTGATTTCCAGTTTCTTATATAAAGATACAAGGCTGGATTTAGGCTGTTGTTTGTGCAGTAGTATCTTCTTCAGAAAATTATTGTCAAACCTCTTAAATCTGGTAAAAGCAATAATCAAGATGTCAAACATTGTTCCGGCATTAATTACTTTATAAATCCAAAAATCAAAAATACAAAAAGCAGCAGCTTATCTTGTGTTAAACTGATAAGAAAAGGGCAATCAATTCATTGTTATGGGAGAAAGAGGTGTTGGAAGAACAGAGCATACTTTTGATTCTGAGAGAGGCAAAATCCTGAATTCTTTTACACTTATTCAGCACACTGCCAGATCTTAACAGCCATTCATCATTCAGTAATATGACAATAAATTTCCACTTATGGATAAATATATGAAAATCAAGGTAAAAGAAAAATGTGATTTAATAATTAAAGATAATTTAGTAAATGTGCAAAATGACATATTCAAATACTGAGTGAAGATATATTCCAATCCATCCTGCTTTAAACTAAATCAATATTTCTTATGTCTTTCTTTAGTTTTCCCAGTTAGTTTAATTTCAGCTTAGTTTATTCAATTTAGTTTTATCCAGTTATTTTATTTTGACTAACAATCATAGACACATCCTTACTTGTCTCTCAGTTGATAATGGCTCCAGTGTCCACATATATCTTCAATTCCAGCTTTTAAATGATCCATCAACTATAGATATAAAAATTTTATTATGAATTAAAACATTTCTTTTTTATTATTATTAATTTATAATGTAAAATACAAAAATGCAAAAGAAAATAGTAGAAAAGATAGGGGAGAGAAAAGGGAAGGGGAAAGTGTAGGAAAAAGGGGAAAAAAAGAAAGAAAAGGCATTGACTTCCAATTCCCTTTGGTACAGTAGACTAAGATAATAATATCAAAACTCAACTTTTTACTTTTATATAATACAGGTAGTCCTTGAATTACAACAGCTCATTTAGTGACAATTCAAAGTTACAGCGGTGCTGAAAAAAGTGACTTATGACTGTTTGTCACACTTACAACATTGCAGCATCGCTATAGTCACATGATCCAAATTAAGATGCTTGGCAACTGGTTCATATTTATGACCATTGTCATGTCTCAGAGTCATGTGGTCCCCTTTTGCAACCTTCTGACAAGCAAAGTCAATGGGGAAATTAGATTCACTTAACAACCGTGTTACTAAATTAACAGCTGTAGTGGTTCACTTAACAATGGTGGTAAAAAAGGTCATAAAATAGGGGAAAGTTCACTTAAATGTTTCACTTAGCAACATAAATTTTGGGTTCAACTGTGGTCATAAGTCAAGGACTACCTATAGTATAAACTAGCTATTTTTATAACAACAAACTAATCGGTAAAACCCAAAATCAATATTTCTTTTTTTTCCACTTCAAACATAAAGTCCAGAAGCAGTTTCCATGAATTACATTTCTTGCATTCTAGAATAAGTACACAGCAGTTTATTTCAAAACAGAATTCTGCAAATAGAAATAATGGAAATTCTCAGTGTTTATCTTCTACAGTGGAACCTCCGGTCGTGAACGCTCCTGTTCGAGACCAAATTGGATTCCGACCAGTGGTGGGATTCAAAAAAATTTACTACCAATTCTGTGGGCATGGCTTGGTGGGCGTGGCTGGGAAAGGATACTGTAAAATCTCCAGTCAGAGGTGGTGTTTGCCGGTTCTCCAAATTACTCAAAATTTCCACTACTAGTTCTCCAGAACTGGTCAGAACCTGCTGAATACCACCTCTTGTTCCAACCAAAAAATCCACCCAAATTTTTAATTGGGTCACAATTCAAAAATCGGGTGGCAAACAAACCCTTGCCACTGCGATTTCCCCTTTCACACATGTGCAGTCTGTCCATGCATGCGCAGTCGGTCATGCTTCCAGTCACAACCAAATTGGGTTGCAACTGTAGTCCTGGAATGGATTAAGGTCACGGTCCAAGGTTCCACTGCCTTGATTATAATATTGGATATACTAAATCAAAATCCACAAATAATATTGATCCTGAAGTCCTGTGTTCAAAACAGCATCCCCTCAATATGAATATAATTTCAAGGTAATAAGTAAAAGCATTTATCCTATAATATTCTTCAAAACTGTATGGATAAAACCAGAATAAAGCATGAGGACCGTTAGAACTGTGGCTTTCTTTGGCACTAGCATCATCAAATAAGAGTTGTTCCAAAATCTTAACACATGAAACATTGCATCTGCTGAAATATCTTATCCTTTGCTTCTGTGATCAAAACCTGCCCCAAAACACTAAATCGAAATAAAATAGGGGGGAAAAAATACTGCATTAAATCAAAACTGCAGCCGCTCCTGTCAGTCATGAAGAAGCAGGGAAAATCCCAAAGGTCAAAAGAACAGTTAGTTATCAAGTTTCAGGTTTTAAAGTCATACAGTACATACTTTGAGGCAGCTGATCCCAATTGCAAACCTCAAATTAAAAATGAATAGCTATTCCTATATGTTTGAAGACCCAAAGCCATTAAGAGCAGGCAATAATTTATAATCTTCCTATGTTCCTGTTGTCCATTAATACTAAAAAATTCAACTTACTCGCATATGAATTTCTTCATTTATTGATTCTTTTTTATTGGTCTTCTTAACATCTAGGTATTTTACCAGAGGTCTAATGGTGATTCCCTTTGTGTGAAATAAAGAAAGAAGAAAGAAGAAATGCAACCATTAAACTGTGCAACTAAACAATATGAATGAGATACCTGTAGTATTAATTGAGGCCTAGCATACTTCTATTTCCTCATTATTTCACATGCCAAAATAGCTTCGGGGGGGAGGGAGTAGCTGGTATTTTAAAAAGCCATTTTTACCAGTATGATGCATTTACCCTTGTGCACAAAATCCTGAGTCCATATTTGTAAGAACACAGGATCAAGTTAGATGAATGGATGAGGAAGATCTGCAGGGGAAACATGCCTCCAATAAAATATTCCTCTAATGTCTGCAAGATGCACTGATGCTTTGTGATGAAATATTCTCCTTACCTGAATGAAAACAGTAAAGTATATCACTACAATAGTAGATGTGATAAACATCTTCTTTTTAGGAAAGAGGGTTGTAGGAAGCAAAAACGCAAGGGAGAAGCTGCTGGCTCCTCTTAGCCCACTATAGGTAACAATAAGTTGATCCTTGAGAGTAAATTTGTAAGTGCGGAACTTGTTGCAAATAGAGAACAGAAAGAACACACCTAAGAAACAAAATAATAAAAAAGCATAACTCCCTAATAAAACAGAACTGGAAACACGTATGTTATGCAAACTATCCAAGCCAAACAAAGAATCCTGTATAGTAATGAAAGATCTAACATAACTTGCTTATCCTGCCTTAAGCAATATATCCGGAAGAGTTCTATAGGTAACACTTTCTCTCAGCAAAGTAAATTATGCCTCAATCTATCTTAGTCAATACATTACACCTGAAGTCTTTGTTAAACTGGTTAGACCAGTCAGATCTGAACAGTCCCAACATTTCTCTTTCTGTTTTACGTTCTCTCCCTCTTACTTTCTGTCTCAGCTAGAAATGTTCAAAGCTTTTTATCCATCCAGTTTGTTTTCAAGTTGCCTATGCAATTTACTTAGTGCTCTCCAAAGCATGCAGAAAAGCAGGGTGAAGCCAATGAAAGCCCAGTTCCACTCATGGTTCCGACCAATTGTAGACACTCCCATGAACACGAAGATCAGGGTCTCGCTGATACTGCTCAGCATTTTCATGAAGTATTTTATGGTTATATAGGAATTTTGAGAAATATTGGCTTCCACATATTTCTTCATTGTCACTGCACATGCTGTAATCCTGTTGAGTCATAAACATTGAAGAAAAGAAGTAAGAACCATTGGAAACAGAGGAACATGAAAAGAGAATTCGGCATATTTCTACATTCATCGTGAGGGTTATTTTACAGTGTCAATCAGAAATTGGAATTGGAAACAAAAGGAACAATGAGAAACAACAGGAAATTCTCAACATGTTTGGAGCAACATAGAGATTTGCAGAAATCCATTAAAACAAATAAATAATTGGGGAATTAGTTGCTCTTTCCTCAAAAAATCAGGATTAAGCCTGGATTAAGCATGATCTGTGGGCATGCAATTATTATGCATCTTCTAGTAAAGAAACTTGAAAACTAGAGGGCAGTAAAAGTGATATCTTCCAAAATACAGCTTCCAGTTTATAGGGTCCTTAATTGCTTGTCACTCCTTTGGCTATGGTCTATGTAGTATAGCAGCTTTCCTAACAGTCTGACCTCAAGATGTGGGGAAGTTACCATTTATAATATTTATACATTCTCTAAATAGATTTAATGTCACACCTGGAGGCAAACAGAAGCCTGGACCATAACATCTTGATTCAGCTTCTGATTACGTATGACTATTGTATGCTGCCTCATAGCATACAGTTCTCTAGGTACTTTGAAAGCAAGAAAATAATAATAATAATAATATTGAGGAAAATAAAACATGAGAACATTAAGATGAAGAATAAAGTACCTACCACATTCAATGTTGTATAGTTGTGCATTGTTGTGTAGGGTAGAGAAGATTAGAAAGTAGAGAGGCACCAGAAAGTGCCAAGAAGGAAGAATGATCTACAATAATTCTGTTTCACTAGTGCACAAAAAGTTGACTGCTATTTCAATACATTGCTGATGCTAAGCTATATAAATGGGAAATCAGTCTACAGATTGTCCACTGCAGGATTAGTTGGCACAATTAATTTTGTCCATTCTTTAGCAGATGATATGCAACTGAACTCATATCCTTTGAAATTCTGACATCCCCAAATTCTTATCATCTTGTCATGTTTAATGAAACAATGAAAGAAAAAAACAGGTAGCCCTTGACTTACAACTGTTCACTTAGTGACTGTACAAAGTGACAATGGCACTGAAAAAAGTGACTTATGACCAAGTGACAATGAGCCACGGTGGCACAGTGGTTAGAATGACGTACTGTAGGCTACTTCTGCTTACTGCCGGCTGCCTGCAATTTGGCAGATCGAATCTCACCAGGCTCAAGGTTGACTCAGCCTTCCATCTTTCCAAGGTGAGTAAAATGAGGACCCAGATTGTTGGGGGCAATACGCTGACTCTGTAAATTGTTTAGAGAGGGCTGTAAAACACTGTGAATCGCTATATAAGTCTAAGTGCTATTGCTATTGCTATTTTCCACACTTACGACTATTATAGCATGTCCATGGTCACATGATTTACATTCAGATGCTTGACAACTGACTCACATTTATGACTGTTGCAGTGTCCTGGGGTCATGTGATCACGTTTTGCAACCTTCTGACAAGCAAAGTCAATAGGGAAACCAGATTCACTTAACAACCATGTTACTAATTTAATAACTGCAGTGATTTACTTAACAACTGTGGCAAGAAAAGTCATAAAATGGGGCAAACCTCACTTAACAAATTTCTCAATTAGCAACACAACATTTGGGCTTGATTGTGGTTGTAACTTTAGGACTACCTGTAGCTAAATCCATGAAAAAGAATATTAATGTTATCTATGTTTAGTTTAAATTGTTTAAATTGTCAGACATGAATTATTCACAATCTGAAGTATAATCCTTGATCCAGAAAAGGTTAGGTTCTGCTGCAGTTCCAGAAGTCTGTTCATGAACGGAGCTCTGCAACCATTTCACCCTGATTTTGTCTCTAAACTTGGTTAACAGCAGAAATCATGCCAGTGTGAGAAAAAGCACCCAGCATGAAGATATTCCCTAACCTTGACATAAGCGGCACTTAATAAGGGTGTAATTCAGTACCATATGCTGAGTTCATTATTATCAAAGGAGGGAAAGGCCTAAAATGCCTTTGTTTAAATGAATCATTGCCTGGTGCCTAAATCCTTGTGGTTCCTCAAACATTCTTTCTTATCACCCAAGGGTGTAAAACTAGGAAATACTAAGTTAATAAGAGGCTGCCAGCTAGGAAAATGAACATTGCAAGTTTTACTTACGCCAAGATGCCAGATATGTAAAGTATTTCCGCGGTTAAATAGGACAGGTAACTGAACATGAAGACCAAGAGAGGTTCAATGGCAGAAATGTTTTGGGTGAATCGAGTCATAAAAGCTGCCACAAATCCAAAGACGATGCCAAACAGCAGCCCTCCAAGACTGACTACAAAAAAGCGAGCGCAGCCAGCTAGAATGTCAACAGATTCAATTGTTTCATATTTATGCATCTGGGTAAAGTCAATGAATATATTGTATAGGACCTGCGCAGGAGAAAGAAACAAAACATTTCATCCTTAGTTCTCCGCAGAGATTCTCACTGCCATTATCCTTTAGACCAGCTATTTGAGTGCAGCAGATGCCTTGCAGGCAGATGCCACTGCCACTATAGCTTTAAATAAACAATGAATTATGAAGAACTATTTCCCCTCCCATCATTCAATGTCCCAACGGAGCAAAGAAATTCAAATACACTTTAAAAAACAATAAAAAATGGTTGTCCGATCCCTTTTAAGAAGAAATTGAACAACCATTTAGGATTTCCTGTTTGAGCAGGGGGTTGGACTAGAAGATCTTCAAGGTCCCTTCTGACTCTTTTATTCTGTTATGTTAAAAATAATACAAACACCTGAGAGTAAAACTAGGCTTGATTTCATTGTGTGGCACCAAAAAATACATGAGATTTCAGTGATATTTATATGCATTTCAGCCTCTCCTGCTTATGGTATCTTTAATTCAGATTGTTGCAAAATGATCATCTGTCATAAATTAGTCATGTTCAGAAACATCAAGAATACAAGTTTTTTTTTCACCTGCTGCTGCAATAGACACGAAAGATATTAAATACATAGAAAGCATGAAATACATTCGCATCCTTTGCTAGAAAGCAGGCATGCATGCTAAATGAGTGATCTGTATATTTTAAAATAAATGAATGAATGATTGGAACATTTTTGCTCTTGCTAACTAACTTTGTTTTCAGTCACCAGTTAACTTTGGTGTTATCATTCTGGTCATGGAAAGCACGTCCCAAAGAAACTCATCTGACGCCTTCTGTAATTTTTGTTTTGTTTTTGTTTCCATCTACTGTACCATTTGAAGGCGTGTTTTGAAAAAAAAAAAAGTGACCTGTGCTAGAAACACTGCAAATTTGTACTGATGGTAGATTTAACTTAGATTTTTATTTACATTCTAAAATGTGAGTTTGCCTTTTACTGTTGTATTAGGTCCTCAGGGGATTTCGTTACTGGTGAATGCAAACATTATAACAAAATAAACCAACTAATGAGTGAAATAACTCTTTCTTTGCAACACCCAGCACTGAATAATTCACTGCAATGATATAAGCTACAGTACTTGGAGAAGCATTATCATGTACTCTCACTGCTTCAGCAGGCAAATTTGTCTGAGCTTGGAAAGGAGGTAAGGCTGACCTTAGGTAAAATATGGATGAGAAAGTAGGAGGAGTATTGGAGGCTATGGATTAGACTAGGCAATGGAAATAGGTCCTGCAAAAAGACAGTAGCAAACAACTTTCATATGTTTGCCAAAAAACAGCACAACCATCCTAAAAGATGAAAGAGGGCTACTGAGGAATGCCATTTACAAGGACTCAGGGTTGAGTTCCCAGTGATGGTTCTCTTCTATGGATCAGACTATCTGGAGATAGTCAGTTTTCCTTCATCATGTTGGGCTTCCAAAAGGCCATAAAGACTTGGGAATTTATTAAAAGAATTGAGCAGCACTGTCATAGCATATTGTTTAAGGATCCTTAAGGAGTCAGAAAAGCTTCCTTTAGACATGGAGGCTAGCTGGGTTACTTTGGGCCTCCCATTCAGATGCAAAAAAAAAAAAAGTATTTACCAATTTGCACTGGGCCAGTGTGGCAGATTATGCTCCAAAATGTTAAATTAAGAGGTCTTTGTGCTGCAATGATCGATTCAGCTGGCTATAGCCAGTATATGTACTCAAAGCAATCTCAATTAACAATGGTATCACTGAGCATAGTTTGAAACCCTAGTGAGAATCATTACTTGATAATAAAAATATGTGATTGGAATTCTTAGTTGGTAACGAGACACCATAGTTCTTAATTCTTTATGAAATGGTTTGCTGTAAATTAATTCCCAACTGCAAAAGCTAAAGGCATGAATTGTTGCTTAGGTAACATTTTGATTAAGGATCTCAGTCTTTGCTATTCCTCAGCTATAAAGTCAGCATGATCTTTGTAATTAAAGTTTTCAAAAGGCAATACAATGAATGTACATTTGGTAGTTTATTTGATGATAAACTTGCCAGATTGTAGCTTAAATCTGGACAGTATGTTCATCTAGTACTAGACTCCATTTGACAAGGGCACTTGTTCTAATCCTTGGTCAGCCACCAAATATATGGGTTATCTTGGGTCTACTTCAAAAGGTTATTCAAATAACAGAAGAGGGATGATTTGGGTTGCCTTGTCTTCCTTGGAAGAAGGAGAGATATGTATACCTGTGCATTATAGAAGCTCAATTTTTACAAAAAGTTGTAACATACTTACTACAGTTATCCCATCATTTAATAAGGATTCTCCAAATATCATCATGTAAAGTTGTTCGTTGACAGACATCTCTTCAAAGACAGTTAAGACAGCTGTTGGATCCACTGCTGAGACCATGCTGCCAAATAACAGGCTGTCAAGCAGGCTCACATCCTTGAGGCCAAAAGGGGTGATCTGGCAAATTCCATAAAGTGACAATCCAATGCCAAAGGAATTTATGAGGGAGCCCATTGCAGACCACCAAAGAATTGAACCAAAGTTTTCAAAAAAGGGACGGGTGGACATAAAATAGCCTCCTTCAAGGATAATGGGAGGAAGGAGGTATAAGAAATAAATGCTGGTAGTCATAACTGGTGGAGATTTGTGCTTGGTGCCAAAAATAATCCCACCAACCAAAACACCCATGGCAATGTGGACACAGTTTTCTGGCATGAAGTGTGGAAGACGATGGTAGAGATGGAAACCTTGAAAGAAAAATAGAACCATCATGATATTATATTGGGGTTTGGGAATTTTAAAAAGTCTACCTATGTTCTCCATATTGGATATTAGCCTGATGGAGCCCTAGGATGGATTAATCACACTCTTTCTAAAGGTTACAATTTGTTGCTCTCCGGTTATAATGCTGCAGTGGCCTTGAATGAAGGGAAGAATTTCTGAGCAACCAAAATGCATAAGGATCATTGAAAAACTACACAACCAGACTTGATCAGATAGCTTAATTGTAATTGTGATTAATAGATTTAAACATGTTTAATTTTTTATTGTAGTCTAAGGTGCTTTTTTTTTAAGAGAAATTAATGTCCTTAATATAAAGGATTTATATCACACAATGGTTTGTGATCCTTAGATAGTGCCAGTTTGTAATTCAGATTAGGCATTAGGAAAGTTACCATAACATAGATTTCCCTTCTGGATAATGAATATCAGAAGCTGCATCTCAATTCATACTTTCAAACACTTCCTTTGAATCAGAAGATAATGGATTGTGGCCATGCCAGAGAATCTGATAAATGGCCTATACAGATTTCACTGATTAATTGAAGTACACAGGCAGAGACACAGCTTTTTTTTTTGCATCTAGCAACCTAGGATCTGAGTAAATCAGTGAAAATTTGATGTTGTTCAGCTAGTCCTTTTCTGTGTGTGTTTCAGTGTTATGTTTCCTTTTCCTTTCAGTGAAATGCGCTTGTCCTTCACTAATTTTCTTTTTAATCCAATGTCCCATCATATGTTATCCTCTATTCTTCCAGGTATATTGAGTCTAGGGTGATTTTTACAAAATAACTTCTCAGCCTCCCTTGTCAAACTCTCTGTTTTCTAGCATTGCTTTCTTAGACTTAAATATACAAAAACAGCAGCAATATTTGTGCATTTTCCTCATAGAAGAGTGACAGCAGATATGCTAGTATTTTGTTCCATGACTCTTAGAAATGGTTTTCAGTTCTGATAGACAGATAGACAGACAGACAGACAGATAGATTAGGGATAGGGATAGGGATAAATCAATTAAATAATCAATTATATCAGAGCAGCTTATACAATTGGAGCTAAAGACTTCATTATCACCATTAACATAATATAATATAGACTGTTCCTTTTTCTGTAAGCAATCTGCATATGGTTACATATTACTCCAATCTATAGATCTTTTAAAAGTGTTTAAGAAGATTGTATTGTAACTTCACAGTGTTCAGGCAAAACACTAGTCACCAAGGACAGTATTCTTACTGATAAAAAAGGTAAACGACTATCAGATTATAACATAATTTAAATTTAAATTCTGTGTATCTGTGACAATGGTCAAGTACAAAGTAAATTATTTTTTAGTTATTTTTAATGTAAGAATTTTAAATTATTTCTAATTTAAATACATATACAGAATGTACATTTCTTAAATTTAGTATTGATCTTCATTGAATTTAGTTTCAAAAGTTAGGAAAGAAAACTAACCATTTAAAATATTAGCAGAATATATTTTCAAGTACTGTGGTTTGAATGAAACAAATCATTGCCTTCCTTTGGAAAATGTAAACTGTTGTTAAAATTGTAGGTCTGTTCACAACCATCTGTGTACTAAAACCCATTGATTACAAGTATATTTACATCCAAATAAAAGTGCATGGTACTTTACTTTGTAAAATCCTTACCTTCCATACATATTATAACTGGAAGATTTTAAAAAAACCTTTACATTTTAAAATAAAACTCCAAACTGCAAAACAATCAGTGCTTTTCCAAAGTTAGTGAGGTGAAACTTTCAGAGCAAATTTTAACATGAAACGTTGCATATGCTCTTGAAGGTGTCTGAATTAAAAAGTTGCAACACAGCTCTAAAAATTTTCACATGCACAATTTCACATTTCAAATGTAAATCACATGGAGGTTAATTTGGGGTTCATCACAAAGTAACTTTAAGACCTTTAACACTGTATCTGTTCTCACTGGGTGACAAGTGTACTTAATTTTTCAAGCCTCAAGTAGAAACTTCTTTGCAACCTAAGTTATCTCACTAAATTGTTATTTCCTTGGTAACAAGCTGGTTTTTTCCCTGTTTTTGCAGTTTTACTTTTTTACACCTACTTTTATTAAAGAAGTATTTTTCACTCACCTATTTTTGCAAGAGAAGCCAAGAGAATCCAAAGTGTAACTTCGTATGGTATTTGCACATATTCATAGTCCAAGGTGAAAATATGTAGCCTCTCATCTCGTCCTGATTCTGTCCCATCAAAGGGGTCAGCTTTATATGAAGCACTAGAATTTGTATGAAAATGTTGCAAAGACAGGTCTCCAGCAGCAAAATAACTATCTAGGCTGGTTAGCAGCAACAAGCAGCTAAAAACATTTGGACATCCAAATGTCTTAACAGCCATGGTGAGAAGAATTTTATGTATGCGACGTCTTCAAGACTGAAATCTTAAACCTGCTTTATCTTTGCTAAATTCCATTTTAAGTCAGAGTCTTTAGGATTGTTCCAGCTTTATGTAGACTTTCCTGTCTTGTTGCTTGGTCTTCTCAAACTCATTCTTCTAAATTTTATTTTCAATATTTTGTAACGTTCCGCTGCCACAGCTTTTAATTGAAGCCTTTCACTCCATTTGGAAGGAAAGAAACAATACAATTTTATGGCTAGTGGTACAATTATTGGTCCGAGACTATAACAACATAATCCACCACATGTTCTGAGTTACAAAGAATCCAGAAACAGAAATATTTGACAGGTCCACCTCCAACAGTAGTTTTTCCAGGTTTACTTACAGTGAATCATTTCTGGGTTTGGTGGCAAAAACACATCAAATGTTATGTTAGAGACACCTAATGGAAGTCACAAGACTTGCAGTCATGACTTTACAGTATGTGGTTGGAACTATCAAGAGATAGTTAACTTTTAGATATTTAACTTTTACTTGTTTATTTGTTTTGTTTCTTTGCTTTGTAGATTTCTTTTTTATTGCCTCAATTGGTTGTAATCTAAACAATATATAATATTAAACTTTGATAAAAGAGTACATTTTCATTACAGTATACAATAATAACATCAGAATGGTTTCATTACACAAACAAACAAACATTCAAATGCTGGTAGCTATATATGTAGCTATCATCTCCAGTGCATTTCATAAAAACCAAGGACTTTACAGATAATAGCCAAAACCTGGAACTGTATTTGGAAACAAATCATAGGCAATGGTAATATAAGTGGTACATTATATAGGTAGTCCTTGACTTGCAACCATAATTGAATCCAAAATTTATGTTGCTAAGTGAAACATTTGTTAAGTGAGTTTTGCTCCATTTTACGTATTTTTTCTCTCTCACCCTCTGTATATGTGTTTGTATGTCACTTTTAATACATTACAGCCAGGTGCACCTTTAAAAGGATAAATCCAAGTTAAGCCGCCCCGTCACATCCAACTGAATAGCATGTCTATAAATAAATATGGCACAAACAGTACATTTCCATTTAACATTATACAATACTGCATTAAATAATTATATTATTTTCATGAAAGACTAAAGACACAGTTCAAATGGAAACCGGAAGTGATCATCAACTTACCTAGTAGCTTACAGAGTCTACTTAGAGATGGGGAATCTGTCCAATTTGGCTTTTCCATAATGTATTTCTAATTTTTCTATGGATAAATGTGGTTCTTCCTGTTTCCATATTAGAATCATTTTGCTTCACAGTTGTAAATCAAGTGCATATTTTTCTATTACAATAAATTGTGCATTACTTCCTCCAATATGCATTTGGGATTAGGGGATAGTTTTGTTTGTTTGTTTTTGTTCAATGGGCTTTGTTTTAAAAAAAAACAACAATTGGTAACATGGGTGGCAACATTCATAGAGTTACAACTTTCAGAGTTTTAGTTTAAAGTGGCCATATTATAAATAAAATGCAAATGAATCTTTCTCAAATTCCCAACTCTACCATTTAATAATCATTTATAGCTGTGGAGAGTTTTGAAATATTGAGCTATGGTCTCTGCCATATTATACTCTACTTGCTCATCCCTTTGTTTCTCATTTTCTGTTACCAACACCAACGGTTGCTGATGGGAAATGTAGGCCACTTGTCCAAGGCACAGTTGTTATGTTTCACTGGCAAGTGATACCGTAATTTCTTCCAGAACTGCTTATTAGCTGAAGGGGAGGTAGATGTTCTCCAGGTAACCCTGGGTAAAATCCTGAGGGCTTTCCTCACCTTAGGAGATAATGAAGGTGGTTCCTGAAAAGTCTCAACTTGTACTAGGATGGGTTTCATTGTTTTATCTTCCAAGGCAGTGTTGATTGCTGCTTCAAGTTCAAAGAGAGCCTGGGTATTCTTAGCGTAGTTTGGACCCAAAATGATGATGGCCCGCCTGCTCTTTTTCATGGCACTTACAATGTCGTCAGTGTAGGCTGGCAAAAGAGAGCATGATTACTAACGTGTTTTTTTTTTCTTTTTTCACGTCTTTGAAACTATGCCTTGAACTAGAGGTATAAAGCAGTATAAAATTCAACCAAAACAATACATTCTGAAAAAGCACGCTAATTAAATCTGAGAAGTAAAACCTGAAACTCCTCCTTCTTTGCAGCTAATTGACTGTCTCTAGATCAGGATTGAGTCTGTGTTTTTTTGTATTTTCCACTGACCAATACTGTCAATGACTTTTTACAGAACCGCTGTATTTTATTCAAACTGGTCAAATCTTAGTAAATACGATTTGGGTTTGGGTTTGATTTTTACAGGCAGTCCTCAACTTATGACCCCAATTGAGCCCTAACATTTCTGTTGCTAAGTGAGACCATTGTGAAGTCAGTTTTGCCCCATTTTATGACCTTTCTTGCCATACTGGTCAAGTGAATCAGTGCAGTTGTTAAGTTACTAAACACAGTTGTTAAAGTGAATCTGGTGTCAAGCCTGAAATTGATATATGTGCAGCCATTTTAGTTAGGCTTAGTATATATTCTTTTTCTTACTTTCTCTGTGGCAGTCATGGGGGGAAGGGTTTCGGGCTTGCAACATTCCTAAGGGAGGAGGAGAGGAGATAGAGAGAGTTGTTTAAGCTAGGTATTCTTCTTCCCGTGGGAAAATGAGCTATCCATGCTTAGGCCCCTTGAGGTGGAGATTTATGACATGAAGCAATGTTGAATAACTTTTATTGGAGAATGTGACTTTTGGGGATTGTTTCTAAATTCTAGTATTGTGGGGTAATTCCGGGTTGTGTCAGATCTGGAATTACCACGGACTTGCCAATTTGATCCTTTCCTAAATAAAAGAATTGTCTTGGAAAATGGACTTTGTTTTATTCTTTTTAAATGGATTTCATCACTTGGAAACCTGACATCTGGCTTCACCGTTGACTTTTCTTGTCATAAGGTCGCAAAAGGGGATCATATGACCCTGAGACACTGCAACTGTCATAAATATGAATCAGTTGTCAAGCCTCTGAATTTTGATCACAAGATCATGGAGATGCTGCAGTGGTCGTAAGTGTGAAAAACAATCCTAAGTCACTTATTTCAGTGCCACTATAACTTCAAATGGTCACTAAATGAACTGTTGTAAGTCAAGTACTACCTGTATTTGCAAATGATGCTAGGTTTAACATCACCCTGACACGAGGCTGTCTCTTTTCTATGATGGAAAGTATTGATGCAGCTATTTTATTTTAGCTATTGTATGAAATCAAAGAAATAAATAGTATACCTCCACCTGGAAGGATGTCTCTTTCTGTAAGACATAGCTTATATCCATAATCGTGTTCTAAAATGAGTGGAAAAAATTCTAGAGCCAACTGCTCCTCAATGCATGGTTCTTGGTTGGCTTCAGTGAACTCCGGTTTTGCATAGGAGACAAAAGCATCAAATTCCTTCCAGTCTAAAAATAAATGAATTAATTAAAATAATGACAATGAAAAGAAGCAAATGGGCATTGAAATTTAAAAAGGAGGAAGGAGAGGAGAAGCAAAGGAGAAGGAAAGGAAAATCTTTCCTAAATCAGAGAGATGGAGAGAAATGTTTTGTTTGAATTGGCCATTACCACCATGTTTACTCAGACAATGCGAGGAAGATCAGGGAAAGCAGAGATATTCTGGCAACAGTGTGCCTATGTAAATGGGTGTATTTTATGAGTCTCCCTTTGTGTGTAAGTCTGTATAAGAAGTAAAAACAGCCACCATAGCTAAGGTATCTTTTCATATCACCATAGCTGGGGTATCTTTTCATATCAAAACCGTATTAAATGTTGTGTTAGACAAACCATCCTACATATGTAGATGAACTATATTCAGTGGGTAGATGAGATGAGAAAACTGACCTAGATATGGATTTCAACTTATTTTTATACAGAGCCTCGCTATCTTCAAACAGGCTCTTACTTAATTCTTGTTATGAAAATAAAATAGTAATTAAAATAAAATAAAAAAGGCTATCTCTCATACAAAATTATTTTCTTATTCTAATTCCTTATTTACAAAATCTGACTCATGAAAATAACACTGAAGTTCCAAATGAAAATTTCATAACTATCAAACAAATATACATGCCTTTTCTTTCATACAAACTATGTACCTGCAATGGTGGCACAGAGTATTGCAGGCTAATTCTGCTGATTGCTGGCAGTTCAAGTCTCATCCTTACGAGCAGTGATTCAAAATTTTACTACCAGTTCTGTGGGCGTGACTAGGTGGGCATGGCTAGGTGGGCGTGGCCAGGTGGTCATGTGACTGGGTGGGCATGGCTATGTGGTCATGTGACTGGGGAGTCAAAAGTATTTTTTCTTTTGCAGCAACCCCCTGGGTTTTTGGCCTAGTGGACCTCAAGGAAGCCTGGATGCTGAAAAAAAGAAGCATTTTGAAGCCTTACAAGGTAAGTACAACAGCAAAGAGGAGGGATCAGCTGTGCTGCGCGATTTAGATTAGCTAGAAAGCAAGAAATCCAACGATTTCCTGCTTTCTAGCTAATCTAAACCGTGCACCACAGCTGGTTGTCGCCCAGCTGATCATCGGAAATATCGGTTTAGCTGAACCGGTAGCATTTTTTTACTACTGGTTCACCCGAATCGGTAGCTTCTTTTTACTATCGGTTAAGGTAAACCGGGCCAAACCGGAAGCATTTCACCTCTGCTTATGAGGTCAGTAAAATGAGGACTCAGAATGTTGGGGGCAATATGCTGACTCTGTAAACCTCTTAGAGAGGGCTGTGAAACACTATGAAGTGGTATTACTACTGCTACCTGCAAACAATGTCCAAAAGTCATAATTTGCCCACAACATTGTGCCTTACTGGACAAAGAGGGCATTAAACCAAGGTTTCTGAAATTTCAAGCACTCTAGGATGCCACAGTATTCTTTGACTTAAAATACACTGATCTATCTCACTGGAAAATTGTACCATTTTTCATTTTACCAGCAGAGGCTGCTTTAAAACAAATTCTGTAAGCCATCTGAGCAGTGAGTTAACAATTGCATCAATATTCTTAATACACTAATGGTCACACATTCTGATCTTGGAGCATTTTCTTATAGAAAATGAAGTGATTCCCATATCTAGGCTAAAGTACAGCATGCAGAACATGTAAATGGGCACAGAGCACCAGTGCTCAGAAATTGTAGACAGAAAAGTTATGAATGGCAATTTGTAACACACAAAAATCAAAGCATTTTATATACATACATACATACATACATACATACATACATACATACACAAATTTTATTCAGTTTTTCACATAAAAACAAAAATCTCTTTTTAGTGGACAACATATTTCCGGGTCATCACCTTTAGATACAAATATGACAAAAGCATTTTATATTGACTGTATAAGAATCTTGTGCAAATAATATTAGCAAACAGTTATGATTGCTATTTATGAAATTTATTATGGATACCCAGTCCAAAATTTATCCAAACATAAAATTACAAAATGTGTTAAAAGCATGAAATAAACAAGATAGCCTAGACTAAAAACAATCATACTAATAAAAAACAACAGGGATTTCACAGGCACACTAATTCAAGGCATGTGCACAGAGCCAAATCTTAAAATCCTTCCAGAATCCCAGAAGACTGGGCACCAATCCTATCTCTGGAGGGATGTAACTCTAGCGAGAAGGAATAACATCACAGAAATCACACTTCCTTGATCCCACAAGATAATAATATTTAATGGAGAGATGTAAAATGCAGCCTCTCTGCCTGAATGAACAACACAGGCAGAAACAATTGGAGATTGGCAATTCTTCAAATAACATAGACCTATGCCATGAAGAGCTTTTGAATTGCATCCAGAAGTCAACTAGCAGCAAACATAGTTCATATCACAGTAATAATACATGGACATAAGAACAAAGGCCTGTTACCATCTGCACTGCTGCATTTTGAATCAGCTGTAGTTTCCAGATGAGCAATTCCATGTAGAACACATCTACAGTATAAGATTCATATTCTTCTTAATCCTATTTTTTTATCACACGATTTGGACTATCGGTGACTTCTTAAGTTTCAAGAAGTTGTTTAATCACCCTTAATCAACCTGGTACTCTCCAACTAGGTTTGGGCTTCAGCTTGCAGAATTCACAGCTATTTGACGTTTTAACATATCTAGACAGTACTCAATATTTAAATCTACGTCAGAGCCTGATAGTTTAATTTTGAACTGATCTATGCTATGTAGATATATTTGTAAGGTGACCAACCGTCCTCCTTTAGGGAGGACAGTCCTCCTTTTGTAAGTTCTGTCCTCCCTTGAAAAGTGTCCTCCTACATGTCCTCCTTTTTGATATTTGAAGACTAATCTGTAAATCTCCGTATTTGATCAATGTTGATCCGATCCGTTGTGTGTGATGTGACGTATTTGTATTTGACATGACGATTCATCAAGGCTCAGTACAGTATGGCAAGATGCGATTATGAGACGCATGCGCTCCACACAGGAGAATTGTTTTGAGAGAGTGTGCCACGCGCAAGAGTGCACTATGTGCAAGAGTGCGCCGTGCGCAAGTGGCTTTGTTTTTTTCTTCAATTTATTTGTGTTCTCCTTTTCATTGTAAAAAAGTTGGTCACCTTAATATTTGATTCAAATTCCTGCTTATCTCTGAAATTTGGGGCATGAACTTTTCAAACTGGTGAGTTATAAGCAAAAAAATTGCCATGTTAATGCTAAGTGTTTATGAATGTGTGTGTATGCATATTGTGTGCAGGTTTGTCTATAAAAATTATCACTTTATTTTTTATCTTTCACTTCTTAATTCTGTACATTTTTAATTCCATAGATCACTGATGAGTGTTTGTTCTATATTCACAGCTGGCTTATCAAAAAAAAAAAAAAATCAGAATTGTTTGACAATAAGAACACAAGAAATGAAATATTTTTAGTTACCAGCTCCTTTCAGGTATCCGAAAATTTATTATACAACTCACTTTTAAAACTGATCATATACTTTTATTATAAAAATAGCTATATAGAAAGTTTTATCTTTAGCCTGAAAATGAGAAAGAAACTTTTTTTAAAAAAGGATCAAAAGAATGTGGAGGGGGGCATGAAAATTCTCTTTTTCCTTTTTTTAGAAAATGAAAAGTTTTGACCTACATTCATTTCCTGAATTTAATACCTCTGTGGTAAACTAATATTTAAAAACATCCTCATTAACAGGATTCTATAACAGCCGTGTGTATGTATCTAGGCCAGGGGTGTCAAACTCACGGCCCATCGGCTGGATACGTCACATGATGGTCCCGCCCCGCCCCAGTTTAACGAAGAGGGGGAAAGTCCCAATATGTCACATGACAACACTGTGACAATTCTTCCCTCATTCTTTGTTCTCTTTTTCTCCAATATTTTTATGAAATCTGCCCAATGTTTCCCTATTGTCTCTGTTTCTAAAATTACAATTCAACTACAGTATTTTATTTATAGTTTTTATTTTGTTCAATGATGTCATATGGTAACATTTGAAATGTTTGAAAGTTGAAGCTTCCATTAACTGAATTTAATAAAAGAAATGGAAAAAAGAGTTCATCAGATTTTTCAGATGACTTTGATAAAGATTTGCTTCCTGTGTATTTAAAATGATTATATCTAGTTTTAAGAAATGTGGGTGTGTGCAGTGTTTTGGTTTGGGTTTTTTCTGGTACCGCCTGATTCATTCTGAAAATTCCATCCTTCCTAGGACTAACTTTCCCTAATTTTCCTTTACCATATCTGACTGATGAGTTATAAGTTGATACTTAAGGGCTTATTAATAATCATTTCTTTCCAAATGATGACTAAATGCTACTATTTGAATTTTATAGAATATTGTTGAATATTGTTGCAGTATACCTCTGCTTTAGGAATGGGGGTGAGAGGATTTGAAACATGGTTTCTTACATTTCAATCCAATATTTCATTCACTGGGTCAAGAGAGATGTTTAATTCTACAAACAGAGATTCTTATAAAAATATTTTGTATACATTGTATTAGTATTCAGTATTTGGGAATGGGTTGTTGAGATCCCAATATGTCAAGTTAAGATACTTAGAAACAATGGGTGAAGTAGGAGCAAATGTAGGTAAGTTGAGAGAGAGAGAGAGAGAGAGAGAGAGAGAGAGAGAGAGAGAGAGAGAGAGAG